GTTCCACAATCTGGTGGCTTAGCCTGCAGCTCCCTGTTTTAGAAACTTCTGTTGTAAAGAAAAGATCTTCAGTGTCTAAAATGGTATTCTTTCCTCAGATTAAAGGTGGGAGAGGGCAGGGTGACTTCCCCAATGCCTCTGAATGAATGCAGTTCTATCGGAATCATTTCTGCCTCTTGGGGAAGCTGGCAGCTACCTTAGTGATATGTCTTAGGGGTTGCCCCCTGGGTCACCAGTCTTGTGAGAACCTCCTGGGGAAACTGGGGCCAAAGAATTTCAGCACTTAGCATCTTTCCCTTTGAAGAGTCTACACACCTTAGCATGATGAAGCCCTTGCAAAAGTACCTAATTTGAATTTGGCACATGAAATCGATCGCTTAGGTAACAGCTCTGAGACCCTGAAAATGATGTTCTGTGGAAAACATTGAAGAAGCATCATCCCAGCATGTTTTCCTTCACATTTCCTAATTCAGAAAGCAAAGACTTCTAGAAAGAATGGGTTAGGGAATGCTACAATTAACTAATGATCATGAAGCACTCACTTATCTAAACATTTGGTTCTGTTTTCCTGCCTTATCCACTGCATTTTCTCATCACAGACTAACTGTGTGGTAAATACTATTATTATTCCCTGTGTTAGTCAGTTTTCTGTCGCTATGACAAAAAAAAAAAAAACCTGAGTAAAACAACTTAAAGGAGAAAAGGGCTATTTTGTCTGACATTTTCAAAAGTCTCAGTCAAAGGTCTCATGACCCCGTCACTATGGGCCTGTGGTGAGGCAGAACATCATGGCAGGGAGCATGTGCCAGAGCAGAGCAGCTCACCTCATGGCGTCTGAAAGCAAAAATGGAGAGAGATTGCAAGGGACTGGGGACAAGGTATAACTTTCAAGGACATTCCCCCAGTGACCTCTTTCCTCCAACGAGGCCCCACCTTCTAAAATTTCCACCACCTCTCATTAGTACCACCAGTTGGGGAACCAAGCCTTCAACACATGATTCTTTGAGGCACCTTCCAGATCTAAACATAACACCCCACCATTTGACAGAGGAGGAAACCGAGGTTCCAAGAGGGTCCTCTAAATGTTAGCACAGCACTGAGTCATCCCAGCTCCATCCATCTGCCAGCTATCTATATACTTTCCCTGGGTAGATGCAACCAGTTTCAGAACTTAAAATTCCATCCTTGGGTTAATAATCAAAATCGACATCTCCAGCACTGACCTCTTCATCTACCGTCTCTCGTTTAATCCAAGGCCCTGGCCTTCACGTTATTTTTCATCTGTCTCTTCTCTTATCTAAATATTGCCACACTTAAACCCCTGGGCCAGCTGAACCACAGAACACATTGTCTCTTCCACTGTCATAACAAACTCACAAAAGTGAGATAGTCTCAGATTTCCTGCATAAAATTCCTTTCGTCACACACCCCGTGAGCCCCATTTTTTAAAAATATTTTTTCTAGCTAACAGTTTGCGTGCTATCTTAGTCTGCTCAAGCTGATATAACAAAACACCATAAACAGTAATCATCCACAGCAGTTCCTCTCTTATAATCCCATCTGTGAGGACAGGTCCTAGTTTCTCTAAAGGCCCACCTCCTAATCCCATCACACTGGAGACGAGGTTTGGATGGGCCATAGCACATGTAGGGTCAGGGTTCAGATGGGAGTTGTCCTCCAAAAGCTCATGTGTGAAATGCAAGGATGTTTAGAGGTGAACTGGTTGGGTTATTGGAGCCCTAACTTAACCAGTGAATTAATTTCCTGGTGGAGACTAACTGAGTTACAACTGAAAGCAAGTAGCTTATGACTAGAGGAGGTAGGTCGTTGGGAACATGCCTTTGGGTTTTATATTTTGTCATGGTGAGGATAGCTCACTCTCTCTCCTACCTGGTGCCATGTCCCCAACCTGCTCCCCTCTGCCACACTCTTCCGCCATGATGTCCTGATTCACCTCAAGCCCAAGTAATGGAGCCAACCTTCTATGGACTGAGTCCTCTAAAACTGTGAGCCTCCCAATAAACATTCCTCCTCTAATGGCTCTTCTCAGATCTTTTGGTCACAGCAGCAAAAAAAAAGACTGAAATAAGTAATAAACCTGAAATTGTTAACTTCTCCTTTGTAGGTTATCTAAGTTATATGATGGATATCTGTTGTTTAAAATGTATTCTCCATATAAGACAAATACAGGGGCCTTTAATCATCTCCAAGCAAAAGCAGGGCAAGTTGATGCTCAGGTGTATCTTGCAACTGATCTCATTAGGTTTTGCAGAATTCTAAAAAAAATAGCTCCTGATCCCTGGGCTTGGAACTTCCACACTAACGGATTTTTTCTTCTGGTAATTTTGTTTTGCTAAGGGTATGATAGAATCTCTGTTAGGGGACCTTCAAGGTAAGAAGTTATTGTAACAGATTTTTATGTAGGTTCCCACCAGATTGTAGGTTAAGTGTTGTTTCTAAACTAATTAGAAGTCAGTGATTTCTTCGATTTGGATCCTAGACCCAGCCAGCTCTGCAGCGAGGTGATCCTCAAAATCCAAAGCCAACATAAATAATGGAAAGCTACTGGGCTACATTCACCAACATGTTCTTTTATAATTAGCACGCTCCAAAACAAACAACAAAAATGAAGAAGGTTTTTCTGTTACGATGAAATATTTCCCCAGAACACTAATGTCCTTCCAGATCATTCCATGTTCCTTTGATTTCACTTTAACCCATGCAGCCAGATTCTTCCAGAAGAGCGAATTAAGAGGGTCTGTTAACTACTTAAGTGCCTGGCTTCATGAAGTCTCAGCAAGGCCATTCCTATTGTTTCGCCTTGGGCTTTATATTTTTTAAAAGTCAGCTGTCATTTTCCAAGCAATTCAAAATAGCACTCTCAACAGATCCCTGGAGCTCTGGAAATGTTAATGCCCTCCATCAACAATGACCTTGCCACAGGGAGGTGATTTAGGCACTAGGGAGAAAAGAGCCCACTATCTTTATCACGCGGGTTTACGCCATCAACTTCAGAAATTGTGCGAGAGAATAATCAATAGTGTGTTAAGGCCAATCTTGAGGAATGCCAAGACAAAGTACCGCTGCTCTTCGAAATGCTGAGCTAAAGGAGAACTTCTGAGTACGAGCGAAAGAGAAATTAGCTGTAGCGGCAAAGCAAAATGAATTGTGTCTCCAGATAAAATTTGTCATTGGGAATGGCACTTAAGGGCTCTCTGCATACTTCGGTGGAATCACATGATATGCATGGTGAAAAATGCTTGCTTTAAAGTTAAACAACAAAGAATTAAATGACAAAACTGGAACGAATGCATTGTAAATATACACCTGCGAGTTAAGAATTCTCTCACATAAATAGTCCAGTAAAGTTTACTCAGAAAAGAAAAAAAATATATAGCTAGGAGAAAAATCATTCCCTCTGTACAAATGGAACAAACTAAAGTTAAACTTCATCAAGATGTGACTCTCTTTCTTGTAAATCCAGGCAAGGTATAATCTCAGGATATCGGGCACAGAGTGAAAAGCTTCTAAAGTAATAAAAGAGGTACTTGCATAGTTGCTGGAGTGAAGTCACGGTGGGAAAGAACCTGCAGCTAGGTCCCTGAGTTCATTACAATCAGATGCTTGATTTCCCACAGCAACCCTAATTGTGCCATGAACAGCTGTCAACAAAATTAGAAGAAACTGTCATTTTGTGGATATCATCCACATGTGCTTGTCCTATTTCTACACGGTTGGCCCAGGAGAGTGTTTTCAAAGCATTCTTCCAGTAGAGGTTTTTGTTATTCAGAAGGGAGGCCCTCACAATATTTGGCCTCATAGTCTAGACATGAAATACATTTGTCATGATAAGGCAGATCCCAAAGGGATGTTTACTGAATGCCAATTCATGTGCATGAAAGTGTCTGGGGCACAATTTGTTTAATCCTGAAATGATCCTGTGAAGTAACTATTATAATCCTCATTTTCAACACAGTCGATTCTCATTATTTGTTGTAGAAAGTCAATACAAACACTGAATTAGCAAACACTGAATTGTCGTTCCTATGGGGAACATAAGGTTAGGCTCCTAGGAGCCACTGGTCACAATATTATCGTCAGCCCGTCAATGCATTCTTATTCTTTGTGTCTTTGTTTAAAGATGCCTTATTTAATATATATTTGCTTGATTAATATGGTATTCATGACATTGAACATAGGTTTGTATGAAGTTTATGGAAAATGTTTTTTACACAAGACACATCACATTCTTTGTACTCAGGAGCACTACATTATACTCAGCCCTATGCTGGGGAGTCATTTAAACAGTGAAATCATCAAAACAAACCAAAAAAGGCACAAATATGTGGAAAGTGGTATAAGATAGACTACAGAAAGGATACTGACACTGACAGCAGACAGCATTGCTTTGTTCAGCATCTGCCACAAACATGCAATTGGGTCTGCTCAGATTTGCTACCACTGCTAGTCTATGAAAGTGTTGTGAGTACTGATTTTGGGCTTATATATGAATTTTAGCGGCTAGGCAAATTTGCAAATCAAGAATCTGAAAAATAATGAGGAATAACTGTATATGGTAAAATTAAGAGTCCTAGTGGACCAGTCTATCTGTCTGGGTAATTCTTTCTGTCATGTTAGTGGTTGTATGTGTTTAAATTTTAACTAAGAGTGTATTGGAGGTAAGAATTCCATGAAAATGACTGTATAGCACACTCCTGCTTCATTCACCGTTTTAAGAGGAGACTTTCTTGACAGTAGAAGGAATTGGACATCACTTTCCCATGTTCATACACGAGTACACGACCAGTGAAAATTCACATCGTGTACAACCATAAGAATGGGATGCTAAATAGAATGACTTATACTCCATGTATGTATTAGATCTCAAAATACACTCTACCGTCATGTGTATCTAAAAAGGGAAATTTTTAAAAAGTGAAAATAAAATAGAGGAAACTTTCTTTAGGTAGATTTCTTTACCTTTCAATGGTTCTCTCCAGGTCTTTCAGGGATGTGGCCAGCCTAAACCTGCTCCGGCTCTCAGATCTGCCCGATCGGCTCCTGAAAACTTTAATACACGTTTTAGGCCCTACAATCCCGAGGAAAGGCCCACCACGGCTGCAGGCACAAGTTTGGACCGGCTGGTGAGTCCTGTGGGATAGATGACCCTTGTGGGCACTTTCTGCCACCAAGGTCATTTGTTCATTCTTCTAACTAGATGCTGGGATTCTAAAACAGTTTGGTTGTGAAAGTCATCTCATTCTTTTTTTTTTCTGCTCCTGTTCTTAATTTTAATATTGAAAAGTAATAGGACCTCTCTTTTAGGTAACTAATTAGATTAAGAAATCTTAATAACGATTAAATCCAACGGTGCAGTGACCAAATGTTCAACTTCATATTTCTTCTGAAATATTAATTTGAAAACTGAATTACCAATTCTTCCAGAGATATAATTACAATAGCATATGTCTTATTCATCTGCTTCGCTTCATTTCTTAAAAATGATTATTCAACTGATACAATGTTACTCTATATGACTTCCTGTATGCAAAGTTGCCTGTTAGAAAGTTCCTGCCAAGAAATCCTAAATTAAGGTTATACCGGTTTTTTCTTTCTTATGTCTTTAAAAAGGTGGAATCCTTAGAAATAATCACTTTTTGAGCCATTTAAGTATGTTTCAGTGACTCAATGGTATCTATCGTTAAGAGCAATTTACTTGTAGAATACAATCATAAACATAGTAAACACAATTTTCTGAATGTGTTTTAAAAACCAAATTTGGCATAAAAAATTCAAAGCTCATAATTTCAAAGAAATACTGCCTGATTATTTTTAATTCAATTTCTTCAATTTATAGTACTATAAACAGTTTATATACCTGTAATTGTTAGTGCTGCTAATGTTTTTTTGCCAATTATCTTGATGTAAAATTAACAGATGAAAACCTTAAGGTCATAAAGCTTTTGAACCGAATCTGATTGTGCCATATAAACACAGATCTCGAGGGTTGCAGATTATGAAAATTCTTTTATTAGTTGCTGTTATAAATTACTTTATGATTTGAGTTAATATCCTTCTACAATGTAGAACTCGTAAGATTAAATTGGTTGCGTTTGGCCTTGATGTAAGTACAGCTGAGCATTTCCCTCTATAAAAAAAAATCAAATGTGCCTACAATATAAAGGACTATGCATGAAGTTTCAAAATGAAGGGGTAGGTATAGTCATTCACTGTTATTAATTTATTACCAGTTATTGGCAAATAAAATCTTCTTCAGTGTAGGTTCTGGAAAAGGTACCATATCTATAATCACTTTGGCCTTCTATAGTACCTTGCTTACAATTTCAGGAAAAGTTTAAAATTAGTCACCATTTTTCTTTTAAATAATCGATTAGATTCTGCCCAACAATTAGCTTATTGTTTTAAAGAATGGTGCTTTTCCTTAGATTCTACTGTTTGGGATGTGCTTTAAATTGCTCTGTGTATTTCTCTAACCAGAAGCACAAATGGTGAGTATAGGTTTGGTTCTTTTTCTTTCTTCCCCCCATTTTAGTTGACTCTGGATTTAGTCATTAAGAGTTAAGGCCTTTCAGCATTTTTTAAAAACCCAATTTAAGAACTGGTGGGGTACAAGATGAATAAATTTTACAGTTCTGATTTACAGCATTGTGCCCACAGAAAACAATACTGTATAATTCACTTTAAAATCTGTTAAGAGGGTAGATCTTATGTTAAGTGTTCTTATCACAATAAAATCAAATAAAAAAAAACTAGGGTCCATTATGTACTTGGTTGAAATTGCATTTAATCTGAACAAGATAAAGATATCTATATCAACTAATGAACTCTTTTCACTTTGAAACAGCATAGTTCACTCTTATCCCCAAGAGAAATTAACACCCACCCTTAAACTCTTAGGGAAGTTGATCAAGAAAAATATATTTCTCAGAACAACAATATTAAGCACCATCTGAGGAAAGCATCAATGCTTTGGGAGTTTCACATGATGTTTAAAAATCTAATAGATATGAAAATTGGAATTTCAACCTTTTATAGAGGAACTTCATTGGTAATCTTCAAAAAGCTCCCAAATGAAGGGTTCTTTAAGATCACTGGCAAATAGCAAACTGATCTTCTATTTTATTCACCCTCCAAAAGATGTTCTTATTTTTGGTGGTCAGGCAGGGTACCAGGGATTTAACCCAGGAGCACTCGACCACAGAGCCACGTACCCAACCTTTTTTTATATTTTATTTTGAGACAAGGTCTCACTGAGTTGCTTAGTGCCTCACTTTAGCTGAGGCTGGCTTTGAACTCGTGATCCTCCTGTCTCAGCCTCCTGAGCTACTGGGATTACAGGCATATGTACCACCACACACAGCTCCAAAATATATTCTAATCAATTTTTTTTCTGAAAATAGTTGATAATGGTTGATTATCCAACCATAAAGAAAAGCCAAGGACCAGACTCAGTACGTAGGTATCCAATGAATAAGCCAATTTTATTCCCAAACATTTTCTCCCACCTATTTCCTCATAGGTGTAAGTTCAGGCTCTGTAAGTGAAACTGGCACTTTTATCCTTTTTTTTTTAATTGAATTAAATTCTAATCCCTTCCTAATTTGTAAGAATCAGCAACAGCCAGCTATGAGCCTACCTGGAGCTCAGCTTTCCTCAGCTCTTAAGAGTCAGAAGCTGTTTCTACATCAATAGAAGCTACACCGAAGGTTATCCCTGAGAAACAGGAGCCGGGCCTGAAGCTAATATCAGAGTCTCCATTTGCAGCCCCCGGCTCCCCCAAGGCCTTCCTCCCTTGAAGGGTTCAGCACAGTTCTGTGAAGTAGGAAAGTAGAGTGATCCGACAGCCAGACATGATCATCTTCCAGGAGCAAGCCATGGGGAAGGGCCCTGGTGGGTCTGCTCTCCATCACTGCCCATCTCAACTGTTTACAAACAAGGCTCAGGTCACCTACTCCTGCTTTAATTTTCCCCTGAAAAGATGTTTCCTGAATATTTATAAGAAGCATGTGTTCCAGAAAAGGAGGATAATTGGGAAAGATTTCTCTTAATATCTCTGTTTCAGCAGATAAAATGCTTCAGAGGCCAGCATCAAAAGAATTCTAGGATCACCTCACTCTTTGGCCAAAATGAAAATAGCACAACTAAGGCTTTGGAATGTCACTTCCTAATACCACTTAAATGAGTACCTGTGGTATTGGCTTGGATCTCTTGGTGACTCTTCTTGTATCTATTGTCTACTTTTTATGTGAATTGTACTTTTCAGTTCTGTTTTAGAAATGAAGCTCCCAACCCCAAGCTGCTGCTAAAAACTTATATAAAATAATTGAAAAGAAAACTCTTAAAAATGCATCAATTCCACATTTAGCCTTGTCTCATATGTATAAGGAACTTGGAAATTCTTTTATATCACTAGAAAACATTTCCATTTGTTCCTTGAGGGTTACATGGCCCTTAAACACTGTCAAGGTCACCCATACCTTTCAAACTCCCCCAAAGTGATCTTTGTTATCTGAGAATGAATGAACATGTTTATATATTCAGCTACTGATGGAAAGTCAGCCCATCTGAAAATATCACAGTCTTTTTTTTTTTCTGTTAAGAGGGTAGATCTTAGGTTAAGTGTTCTTATCACAATAAAATCAAATAATTTTTTTTTAAAAAAACATTTTTATTAGTGCAGTATAATTGTATACAAAGGTGGAAAATATCATAATCTCACTGCCAACAGCTATGATTTGTTACAATGTTAACAGATCCTGTTAACACACTGGTTCTGGCATCCTGTGTCCCTTCGTTGCTACAGACACTCACCTTAACCCTCTTCTGCCCCAGCCAGAAGTTAAAATTTTTCAGTTAAATAGGTCAGAGGTGATTATTTGCACTCAGAAACAGATTGGCTCTCTTCCCTTTTCCTTAATTTTACACTCTGATGTCTCTTAAATAATTTGATGGAAAACTATGATATTTTACGAAGTTTCAATTCACTGGACATATTGAGTGCAAAAATAAAGCACACAGAGGAGTTTTGAATTTTCCTCTCCAAAAGGCAATTATTTGTACAGCTCAGAAAATTAGAGCACAATGGGTTGGAAAGTTCCCGAACACACTTGGGCAGAGACTCTCCATGACTTCACTTTGGCTCCTATGTTAAAGCAAAAAATGTACTTTAAATGGTATCCCTTCGAGGCACATATGTTCTAAAAGTAAATTAAAAAAAAAAAAAAAAAGCCAGACTTGGAAGTTAACTAACTTATCACATCAGCAATAATTTACAACCCAGAAAATCCCTGTGGGTATTCCACTCCTACTGTGTGTGCAGTTTTCTTGAATATTTGACTGGTGGTTCTAGGGGAATTCGGGGCGGGAATGGGTGGGATGCCAACCTACAAAGCTGACCTTTATACCTGTGCTGTGCTATTGTGTATAGAATAATCTCTTTTTCTTTTTCCTTTAAATGTGTTTCCTCTTGCTTCCCAGAGGACGGTGTGGAGGACAATGCAGGATAGTGTAAGCACTGGTCTTCTTATTCTTCCTCTCATGCCCATTTGTCTTTGTGCAGTCATTCTGGAGTGTTCCTGAGAAACTCCACCTCCGCTCTCCCTTTCCAAATTCTCTGGAGTGCAGTGAACAAGGCACATGGCCAACTTGTTCAGGAGTTTCCTCTCTGCTTGGTGTTTATGGTTAACAACCATTTCGGTATTCTTTCCCAGTGGCAACATTTTCAATCTAATCTTTGTGTAAGCCTAGCTCATTTGGTGGCTGATTTAAATTCTATCCCAATGTTCAGAGCATTGTCGTCTGCCTGAAAAACTAGCTCTTCCCTGATAGAATATATTGCCCTTTTCTTTTTGTGCTGAGCGAATAATTACCTCACTAATAATAAGAACAAACCAACACCAGCTCTCATGCATAAGGAGCTAATTTTTCCATTAGCTGGGACATAGAGACTTTAGGAGGTTAAGAAATAGTTTATGGTATAGGCTGTTTACTCCTTTTAATTTCTACTTGAATTTGCTAAATTTTTTAAGAGCATCCAGGGAAGGAGGATTGGACATTATTTGTTTGAAAATGTTTGTGTTAGTTATCTCTTAGTTTATCTTACTTGACCAGATTGTTATCTAGTCTGATTTTCACAATGCCATCCCACGATAATAACACGCCTTCATAAAGACTTGTACCCTACATGGCATCATGAACCCAGGAGAGAAGATGACTGTCACCTGAGGGGCACATATTTATTCATGCAGCACAACTGTGACATCATGGAGCTCATGTCTGCCTGGCCTTAAATCCAGGCAGTGCTAATAATGCAGTGACTAAAATTCCTTCTTTAAAAATCACTTGTTTCAAAAGGAAATTATCCCCTGAGTGGTATTCCATTTATCATTCCAGATCTCTGAGCTGAGGGCAATTTGGATGAGGTAAGAAAGTTAAAAGAGGTAAACCTGGAACAGGAACATTCTGGAAGGGAAGACCTTGATAAAGAGGCAGGAGAGACAGCTGGCCAAAGGTGTTCTGATGTTAAGTGGGAGTGGGAGGACTTGTCATGGCTGAACAAATAGGGTTCTGCTTCTTAGTATTAGGGGATAGCTAGAAGAGCTCCAACTCAGTGTCTACACCTGCACTTCCCAACACAGTTCCTCAAGATCTCCATATTTCCAGCACATGAGCCAGTCTAGTCTCCTTATCTGATGGTTACTTTGATCCTCATAGTTTTCCCCCAAGGCTTCCTTGATTGTACTGAAATGAATGCAAATCAAACTATCATCCCCATGATTGCTAGACTTCCCTCCTTGCCTCCTTTATCCAGGTCAAGAGAGGTGGGGAAAATTCTCTTTTGTATATGTTTCTCCCAAAAATAACCACAACTTCTGAAATTCATTGATATGCTCAGTGGCAAAAAGTATGTTGTTAAAATTATTGCATATAGGCTTAAGGGCTTGCAAAATACCACCAAGATTTATGTTTGTTTGTTTGTTTTTTATTGTTTCTAAACAAAATAGATGAAGGAACTAACATTCTAGTATCATTTCCTGTCCAGTGGTTATTAAGAGTTTCAGTGTAAAATGCTGGTCATAAACACGTTCTCCTACGCCTCTTTGGGGCCATTTTGGTGTGATTTAGGACATCTTGGTTGTAAGGATTGGGGAAACTGTCTATTGTTCATTTTAAATTGCCATGGCATTTCCTGGTCACCTCAAAAGAGTCTGCATCCGGCTAGCTCCACTATTTTGCATTTCAAAAGGATGTCAGGCTGTATTTAAGAAACTGCTTTATTATCTAGAGCTTCAGCCACTGTTTTTAGGTGAAACTGATTATATCCCACATTCTATGACACAGACAAACACACACACACACACACACACACACACACCCTCCACCTTCGCTTGGCCCGAACAGCAAAAAGTAAAACTTCCATAACAACACTAAACCAGATTCTCCACTTTAATTAGTTTTCTAAAGATAAATGGGTCAAAGCCAGATTGGCTTTCAGCCTCTGCTGCAGCTGAATAAATTATGCTCCATTCACCCCAGCAAACAAATGGCTACTGCTCTGTCCACTTCAGATTGTAAACTGCACAGTCTTGCCTGAACCTGCTTTATCTATTTGCTGCAAAACCCCACTGGGACACCCCAGTTTCATTTTCAATGAACCCCTGGTAATAACAACAGCAAAATGCAGTGAGCTTTCAAAGCAGAGAGGAAAAAAAAAAAAAACCTTAAAACCAAACCACCCAACTTATTTGGTCTCGGTCTCTGCTCTTCTCCAGGCAGCATGAGCAGCATGTGGTGGCAGGGACGGTTCCCTGTCATAGGCTCCTTTCCATTAGGTGGCTTGTGGTTGATGAGGCCCAAGTGGGGAATATCATAAGACACACATATAAAGTGATGGCTTATCTCCAGGACATTCTGCTTATTCCACGGGCTTGAAGGATGCACAAATCTAATTCAGGGGTATGCGCTGTGGGAACCTGCAGGAAATGCCTGCTCCTTCTCTGGGCTTTTCAGCTCTTACCCAACAGACAGTGGACTATTTTTACCTCCTTGGGAAGCTCTCCTTTCAGGCATGGGGAAGAATAGTGGGAAGAGAAGGGGCATGGACTCTGTTTGGGCTCAGGCAGAGTTGTTTAATTGGATGGGGTTGTATAACATGGGGACAGAGAAGATAAATCACAGCTTTGGCTGCATAACTTCCTGGGAGATGCTAAAGCCCCTTCCACATCACCGCTTTAAGACACGTCCAGAGAATCATGCGGATCTCAACAATGAAATAAAAAAACATGCCACCTATTTTTAAGGGCTAAAACTTTTGCACAATTTATATTAGGTGTAAGTGGTCTGAAATCATTTGGGGAGTCATTTACCAACAAAATCATTTTCATCTCTGGGTTAAACTCTCCTTTGTCCTCATAAACATTTAAGCAAAAGCTTTGGTGAGCTCCATGTCATAAAAATGAAATGTTACACTTTCAGACCCAAAATGGGGCTATTACAGATTTATATCTATTTTATAGGGTGTTGATGTGCTTACTTTCTCCTTCCGACTTTTAAATTTCTTTCGGAATTCCTAAACTTCAGCTAAAACCCAAATTGACACATTCTATAGTTATCAATCAGTCAACAAACGTATTTATTGAGTTCTTCTCTGTTGCAAAGCACTTAGTAAAACTAGCTGCCATGTACCATCTACATCACAGCCCATTCTTAGTGCTAGTGTTATCAAAAGGCAAGGGATACCATTTGCAAAAGACATGGCTTTTCAAATCAGTTATACACGCTATGTCTCCTCCAGGGCCAGTACTTCACACAGAGCTTCCTAAACCACTAGCATAGAGTAAATAGGAATTTGATTTTGTATCTAGATAGGCTGCACCAAAAAAAAAATGTAGAAAGAATATTAACAAATGAATAATCATTGACAAAATATGTAAATTGAAAGCATTAAACATCTGTAGCATCCTTGATATAGGCCATGTCTAATAGCCCATTTTCGCTTCTTAAGCTAGAACTTGCTGCCTGAATCTTGAATGAATTAAACAGAAACTTTCTTGTCAGTTATAAACTCGCCAGATGAAAAAGTCCATCTGCACCCTCGTTCGCAGTGTATCTGTCCTTTATTGAGCGATGTAATTGGTGTTTCAGTGAGTTGATTATGAAGATCTGAATAGACAAACCACAGTAAACGGCTCAAATCGTACCTTTTAAAATATTTGTTCGTGTAACACACCAGTTGACATGGATATTTTATTAAATTACTGAACAGCTTAAAGAACCCATTCCTTGTCATGGAAAATCTGCAGTAATTTTTTCCTCCGAGCTGTCTTTTGAGACATTTGCACCACAGCTCCCAAATGTGATGTTCATGCTTACGAGAGAGAGAGAGCTGAAGAAATGGGGCATTTCATAAATACCAGTTTTGATGTATTTGCTGTATAATCAATCAGACTTCAACCAACTCTGGGGCCTATGGAATACATTTGAAAGCACTGGGAATTTGGCTATTCCCATAACATACTTGGGCACTCTTTACTGCTAGCAATAAACCTCAGGCATAAACATTGTAGGGAAAACTAGATGAAAAGAAACCCCTTTGAGTGAAAAGTGACTTCCCTTCACAAGGTTTAAAGGTAGAAAAAGAAATCTGTGATACACAATAATTTTATTACGTAAGCTCATTCGGAGTCTGCATCGTCAAAGGCCCTGACTTCATGGATTTTTTTTTTTCTTACACCCAAAAGACTGGCCAAACCATTAAAAATAAAAAGCCAGGTTGGTAGAAAATGAATGAACCAGGAGCAGAAGTGGACTCATTCTGTTGTTGGTGAACAGCTAATTCTTTGGCAGTTGGGTTTGTGTGATATGTTTAGAAGCTTTTCCAATCTGCATTGATCTGGATGGGCCTGAATGGGCAAGGCTACATCTATATAAAGAACCCCCAAAAGGCAAACAGTTAATTCTTGTTGGTGTCAAGGACCCATGGTGGGTTGGGTGTGGGTTACTTTTGCATGGTTGTCACCCTTGCTCCAAGACCTCAGGCCACACAGCAGCCATTAGTTGGAGCTTCACCCGTCACAGGGGCAGGGGGCAAGGTGGCTGTTAATTCTCCACCCAGAAGGGGCCCATCCCACTGTTCACATCTCCATGGCTGAAGCGAGTCCCATGACCGGAGCAGCCTTTCTGTTCCTGTGTGTCTCACACACAGAGCAAACACACATGTGGGTTAATGGTATTTTGTTGACCACAAACAGTGTGGCCAAGTCAAGAGTTTTAAGTTTTAAAAATCTATTTCATCACACTTTCCAACTCTCAAACCTTACATGAAAAAGAACATAAAACAAATGTCACTCATTCACTCAACAAATATTTATTGGCTCTGATATGAGCCAAGTATGGGTAACCAGAACGAATGTAATCACAGAGTTCACCCGCCTGGATAGACGACAGACAAAATTAGCTATAATTTAAGTCAGACCATGCACTGGTGAAGATTGTAACACAATGAACTG